TGAGAGTATCACATCAATGGATACTCAGGGGTACTCTTCCAGATCTTTCCCTGTGTGTTCTATATACAGATACTTAGCTTTCTTTTCATACCCTAATAATCTAACTCCAAATTCTGTGTTCTTTCCAAAACAATTTTTATTTTGTATTTCCTTTTGTGATCTTCCACAATTCTGTATTCTAAACCAAATGGATGCTTGAAAAACACTTTTGATAGTCAGGGCTGCTCAAGAATGGATTTTGGCCCCAGTAAAGTACATTTTTTTTCTGATTCCTCAGTAACAGAAAACCAGCTTAAAAAAAAAAATGTATGTATGTGTGTGTGTATATATACAGATACACACACACATATACATATACATATACATATACATATATATATATATGGGATTTTTCCTGGAGTGCCCTCTTTGTCTGCTGGTTCCAAGAATTTGTACTAGATTCTCTCAAATTCTGGTCATCCCTGCAAAGGTTATCTAGCACATCGTTTTCCTTCAAAGCTCATAGGGCTCATCATATGATAAAGAGGATGCTAATTCTAGGTAAAACTATAAAACAGACAATTAGGTGTAATTGTAGCTTCATTCTAGGGAACACTAAACTTGTTGCCTTAAGTTTTTTTGAGTGTGGAGGCTGAAATTTAAAAAACAGTTATGTAGTTATATTTTAAAAAAACGACAATAAACTGATGATCAATGAGACACAAAAGAACTGGGTTGTAACACAACCTGAGCAAGGGACCCTAGTACCTTCCCCATGGTGGAAGCCCACAAGGGTCCTGGAGCTGACCCTGCCCAAGGAGCAGGCTCCAGCCTACAGTGTCATGTGAGAGACCCTGTCTGCCTTTCTGGCCTTAACTCACACCATTCCATGTCCTGCTCTGTATTCCAGTTCCATCCAAATATACTTTCTGGAACACACACACACACACACACACACACACGCTCCAACACTGAACCTTAATGCCAAAGATTACCTAATAGTGAATTAAAACCTAAGCGGCTGGGATGCCTGGGTGGCTCAGTCTGTTAAGCATCTATCTTCAGCTCAGGTCATGATCCTGGGGTCTTGGACGTGAGCCCCACGTCAGGCTCCGCACTCCGCACTCAGCAGGGAGTCTGCTTCTCTCTTTGCCCCTCCCCCTGCTTGTGTGCACTCTCTCTCTCTCTCACTCCAATAAATAAATAAAATCTTGGGGAGAAAAAAAACCTAAGGGGCTAGCAAAACTACTCTATAGTGTTAGTGGTCAGAAGAGCAGTTACCTGGGGGAGGAGTACTGATTGGGAGCCAAACAATGGAGTCTACTGGACTGTTGAAAATGTTCTATACCCTGATCTAGGTGATTACACAGATGTATACATACACTGATTCATCAAGCTGTATATTTGAGATTTGTGTATTTATGTAAATTGCACTTCAATTAAAAAGTTGAGAAAACAAAGTAAAACAGAGAAAACCTGAGAGGTCTGCTCTAATTTGAATCTGTTGAGATGTGTTTTATGCCCCAGAATATGGTCTCAGTGAATGTTCCAGGTTCACCAACAAGGAATGCATCCTCAGCTGCTGCTGAGTGGAACATTCTCTAAATGTCAACTAGACAGTGTCTGTTGATGACACTGCTCAGCTCTTCTATATTCTTGTTGGTTTTCTGTCAAATCCTTCTACCACTGGAAGAGGAGTGCTGAAGTCTCCAACTAGACTCGTGGATTCCTCTGTTTTTCCTTTCAGTTATGACAGCTTTTGCTTTGTATGTCGTGGAGCCCTGCTATTGAGGTTCACACACATTTAAGACTGCTGTGCTTCTTGGTCAACTGGGCCTTTTACCATTACGTAACAGCTCTCTTTATCCCTGGTCATTTCTTTGCTCAAAATATTCTGACAATGGGGCGCCTGGGTGGCTCAGCTGGTTAAGCGTCTGCCTTCAGCTCACGTCATGTTCCCAGGGTCCTAGGATCCAGCCCCGCATCGGACTCCTGCTCAGCAGGGAGCCTGCTTCTCCCTCTCTCTGCCTACTGTTCTGCCTACTTGTGATCTCTCTGTCAGATAAATAAGATCTTTAAAAAAAAATACTTTGACATTAATATAGTCACCCTGACCTTTTAATTAGTATTTACATGATATCATTTCATCCTTTTAATTTTTACTTACCTATATTGTTAAGTTTGAATTGAGTTTCTTATGGAAAACATATAGTTTGTTCATGATTTTTTTCTCTATTCCAGTCCTTTCTTTTAACTGATATTTACAGATCATTTCCATTTAATATAACTATTGATGTGTTTTAATTAGGTCTATCATTTTCCATGACAGATTTTCCATGAACATTTTTAAAAATTTCATTTTGGTTTATAGTAATTTTTACTATACCATGTTTTCTAGTGGTGGGATTACAATTTTATGTATTTAACTTTCCAAAATTTATTTAGACTCAACATTTTACCTCTTCAGGTAGAATGATGAAAACTTATCACTATAGAGTTCCCTTATATTACAGACAATTTTATAATTTTTGCCGTCAAATTATTTCAGAGAACGCAAGAGAAGAGAAAGAGACTGTTCTATTTACTTGGAGAGTTACTCTTCCTCTTCCTTCATTACTAACCTCCAAGTCTCCTTCCGGTATCATTTCTCTTTTGGCTAAAGGACTTCCTGACACAAGGAATTACTTCAGACCAGACCCCTGGTAAAAGGGTAAACCCCCTTAGTTTTCCTCCAGCTGAGAATACTTTTATTTCACCTCCTTTCCTGATAGATATTTTCACGAGGTAAAGAATTCTAAATTGACAAGTCTTTTCTTTCAGAACTTTAAAAATGTTATACCACTGTCTTCTAGCCTCCATGCTTTCTGAGGAGAAATCTGCAGTCATTCAAATCATTGTTCCCTATAAGTAATATGTCATTTTTCCATAGCTACTTTCAATATTTCTCTTTGTTTTTAACAATTTAATTATGAGGCATCTGGGTAGGGTCTTCTTTGGTTTATCCTGTTACAAGTTTGCTGACAGATTCATAAGTCTTTGTTCTTAACTGCTTGAAGTACTGGAGAAATTTTAGATATATTAATGTATAACTATATTTTCAAAGATTAACTATGAAAAGGTCTTAAATATTTGGGGAATTTAATCAGTCATGTGCTATTAACCAAACAAAACAAAAGCAAGAGCAATAGTTTTTATACAAGAACATTAATATAAACTCTAGAGCCAATCTGCCCAAGTTCAGACAACAGTGCTACCACTTACTGAATGCCTGACTTGGGTAAATTACTTAACTCTCGGGGCACTTGGTTGGCTCAGTGGGTTAAAGCCTATGCCTTCAGCTTAATCACGATCTCAGGGTCCTGGGATTGAGCCCTGCATCGGGCTCTCTGCTCAGCATGGAGTGTGCTTCCCCGCCCCCCTTCCACCTCTCTACCTACTTGTGATCTCTGTCTGTCAAATTAAAAAATAATAATAATACTTAATTCTCTATGCTTGAGTTGTCGCCCTGGTAAAGTGCGGATGATGAAACAGTATCTGGCTCATAGAGTTTTTACAAGAATGAATGAGTTAATATACACAAAGGTTTAGGAGAATCCCTGGCATATAGTAAGTGTTATATGCATGCCAGCAATTTTTGTTATTTTAAATTGAGTATAAAGGCTTAAGAAAACCCCTTTGGGGGTGCCTGGGTGGCTCAGTGGGTTAAGCCTTTGCCTCTGGCTCAGGTCATGATCTCGAGGTCCTGGGATCGAGCCCCGCATCGGGCTCTCTGCTCAGCAGTGAGCCTGCTTACCCCTCTCTCTGCCTGCCTCTCTGCCTACTTGTGATCTCTCTCTTTCTGTCAGATAAATAAATAAAATCTTAAAAAAAAAAAAACCTCTTTGTAAGAAAGAGAGAGAGAATGTGTGCACATGCAAATGTACGAATAAGATGGAAGGGGCAGGAGAGGGAGAGAGGGAATCTTAAGCAGTCCCACACCCGGCATGGAGCCCTATGTGGGGGCTTGATCTCACGACCCTAGGATCATGACCTGAGCTGAAGCCAGGAGTCAGATACTTAACCGACTAAGCCAGCCAGGTATCCCAAGAAAAACTAACTTTTGAGTTAAAACTTTAATAAGTTGAATATTTATTAAAAGACAAATGTTTGTAAGCATTTCACTTAAACACAAAAGCCTTGTCTTAGTCCAGAAAAGCCTACTAACCACAGATTAGAGCCCCACAAGGCCATGAGGGAGGAGCCACAAGTCGGTCACCTTTGAGTTCCTCACAAAAGCCACATACTCAGTAAACCCCAGCTACTGGCTCAGTGGGTGAACTCAAGGCTGATCTGTCAACAGGTGTTGCCTACCAGCACCTACAATGCACAGAGACGCAATGCCTGAAGTCAGCCAATGGAGAACAGAGGTCAGTTGAGATCCCAACAGCAGTGTTCTACAGAAATGATCTTATTTAAGACGCATCTGTTCTAGGAGCTGGCCAATATTGATACTAATCCCTTTTTTTTATAATAATTTCAGCAGGAAAAACTAGAGATTATTAACTGAGTCAGTCAAGGTACTTCAAGAAGAAAATACCTACTTCCAAAGTTTTCTATTACATGTTGAACACTAAAATGTTCTCTTTTAAAGTGATGCTAGGGGCGCCTGAGTGGCTCAGTGGGTTAAAGCCTCTGCCTTCGGCTCGGGTCATGATCCCAGGGTTGTGGGATCGAGCCCCGCATCGGGCTCTCTGCTTGGCAGGGAGCCTGCTTCCTCCTCTCTCTCTGCCTGCCTCTCTGCCCACTTGTGATCTCTGTCTGTCAAATAAATAAATAAAATCTTAAAAAAAAAAAAAAAGTGGTGCTAGATTTTTGGAGGCAGATTAAAAAAGTGTTTTTAGTTACAGTCCACTTCAATTAAAGATGGTTTTAAAGTACTGTTTGGGTGAGACACTAAGGCCAAATCAGAAGCAAATCATCCCATGCTAGAACACACGAGCATGGTGACTACATGCTAAGGAGTAAAGAAAAGCAAGACTCACCTCAAAGTTGTACTTTCTCATCTGGTTGAAGTGTCTGCAGTACAGGTAGAGCATGCCGATGCTGCTGCCCACAGCAATGTAGTCCCCATTGGTATCGAGAGCTGTGAGGTAGACCACAACAGAGCGGAAGCCCTTCTGGACCTTTGTGGGAATGGCATTGAGGAGATAGTACAAGGGGCAGAACTCTCTGAAGGTCATAGGCTCTGATACTGATGCCATGGCCAAGGTTGTCACAGATGATCTTCAGGCAGGAAAAGGAATGTTTACTTGGCATCTGGGGAAACCTGGGGGCTGAAGAACAAGGCATTATAATTCTTTCAACCTCTAGTCATGCCAAAAAGAAGTCATGTAGAGCAGTGGGAGGAAGGAACTTGCGGGTGGGTAAAACTGTAGGTGGAGCTCAACTGAAGGAGAAAGCACCTCGTTTCATTAAAATCACTTTTAAGCATTTTAATTCAACAGGCACCTCAGTGCATATGGGCCCCTGTAATTCACATTGTGCTAAGTACTGTGGAGGAATGGGAAGACCATTAAAAACAGTTCTTATTCTCAAGCAGTTTATGATCTAGCCAGGCAGGCCAAAGAAACAGTGAAGATACACAAAACCTCATGTGGTTAGCGCTAATCTGTGGGTCTTGATGAGAAGAGGGAGGGAGCAATGTGGAAGAGGCTTCACTGGAAACATCCTGAACTATGAAGCCCACCAAGAGGAACAGATCATGGAAAAGAGAAACAGGAAAGACACTGTACCAGGAGAACAATGAACCAGTCCTGACGGAGAAACACACTCACTGCTGAGACAGCAGAGAAACGTGTCCCCCAGCTGGATGTTTGCAGCCTCCTTGACACCCAGAGACTCAGTTATACAACGGTTCCACCGTGAGACCAATACCTCTTGGCGCTCTAAATTCAAAACTTCCCTCAATAAGGATACTTAGTCCTCACATAGCGCGTTGTAATTTATGATATGCTTAATCACTCGTTGAATCCTTACCCTACCTGTAAGATGAGTGGTGTCAGCCCCAACTTTGAGAGGAAGTTACTAAGGACACGAGGGTCACAAGACCTGCCCAAGACCACACAGCCAAGACCTGAATCTAGGTCTTCTCCCTCCAAATCCTGGGCCCTTCCGATCCCAGAGTCACAGTTCCGACAGACAAGCAGCAGCTATAGATGGGTGTCTTGTCCCTGATTCGAGCCAGAGGTGTATTTCACTCCTTCAGTTCCATGGAGACTAAGCCCCTCTAGTAAAAACTTGTTGGGATGCTGGATTTGGAACTGTGGGTTTTCTATTCCTATAGAGTCGACCAACCAACTTCCAAGTTCTCTTATAATGAAACTCCCACCCAATTCATTTTCACCCAGGAGCCCTTGCATTGGCTGTTCCTTCTACTGGAATGCTCTTTCTCCAGATGTGACTCAGATTTTGCTTCTTCTCGGCCTGTAGGTCTCTGCTAAAATGTCCTCTTCTCCACAAGATCCCACCTGCCCAACCCCTAAAGTGGGCTTCCTACCACCACCGAGTACTCTCTATTAGCCTCTCCCTGCTTTGTCTTCTCACATATCCTTTTTCTTTGCTGTTGACTGGCCATCTCTGCCTGACCCCCTCTACCATCACTGGTCAGTAAGGCCCACAGGAATAGGACCACATCTGCTTCACTCACCCTATAGCCCCTAGCACCTAGAAAAGGATCAGGCATAACAGAGGCTCTTATTAAGTATTTACTGAATAGCTGAATGACTTATATAAAAGGATAATTTGCAAGGAAGGAATGAGTGACAAGAATGGAAGACCAGCAAAATATCTTTTCACCACTACGGCCCCAATTCAATGCTGGAATAATAACCCCTGGATGTGTATGGCATATCCCGTGTTCCAAGCATTCTCAGACTCCTGTTCTGTTTGATAATCACAACAGTCAATACAGTGAAGCAAGCAGGGTAATTTATGAGAGCCCTCCTAAAGGTAACAATAAGAATCATATCCCTCTGTGATGTTTAAGAAAACTTACTTAATACACCCTTTTGTAGCAGAGACTGAAGCTCTGGGAGGTTCAGAAATGTGCCCAAGCTCCCATAGCTTTAAGTGCCCAGTGCAACAGGCACCTGGATGAGAATGTTGGTTCTGCTCATACAGCAGCACAGACTGTAAACTCAGAACTTTTTTTTTTAATGTTTTATTTATTTATTTGACAGACAGAGATCACAAGTAGGCAGAAAGGCAGGCAGAGAGAGAGGGAGAAGCAGGCTCCCTACTGAGCAGAAAGCCCGATGCGGGGCTCGATCCCGGACCTGGGATCATGACCTGAGCTGAAGGCAGAGGCTTTAACCCACTGAGCCACCCAGGTGCCCCTAAACTTAGAACTTTTTAAGAGCAAGACCAATCTTTGGCTATGCAAGTATTCCAGAAAGGTGGGCAAGGTTCACATGATGCAGAAATCAAATGGAAATGAAATGGCTCTTAGGCAAACTCAAGTGAGAACAGTTGCTGACAGACACTGTGGGAAAGGAGGTAGGTCATTCAAGGACATGGGACACTAACTCCAAAACACCAACAGCAGCAGCAATAACGGTAAATAGCTACTGATGTTACATCACAGCAACGATCCTTAGCACACTAACTCGTGACATCCTCAAAAAATATCCTAGGAGGTCAGGACCACTGTTACCTCCATTTCTGAGATGAGGAAACTGCTCCCATTTCAACAATCTTCTTTTCATCTTCAAGTATCAGAGCAGAATAGGAGCAGAAAAGGCTTTGTTACCTCAATGAGTCTGTGCATGCAAACACACTGATAAGTTTGCATAATTTATATATTGTTTTTGAAATGAAATCTTTTATAACAGTCATAAATGTTTACCGTCAAAAAATTGGAATATGGAAAATTACAAGGAACTAAATAAATGCCACTCATAACCCCCTACACAGAGATGCGCTATGTATACAGATGGCTACAGACATGCAGGCACGCACTTAATAAATCACAAGCACTTGCCCTGTCATTAAATGTTCCCATAGGACGTGATTTTTAAAGACTCTATAGAAAAACTGCAGAGGACACACTGTATACATAAACCAAAAATTTCCCAACTAAAATGTTTTACTTTCTACTTTAGCCGGCAAGGCCTCCTAGGAAGCAAGTGGAAATACTAAGCAGTTCACAAATGTCAGCTGTCACAATTTTCCTCCTTTAAAAGGCATTTTCCACAAAGTAGCTTTGTCAAAATATGACATTTATATTTTAAAAATTAATTCACTTGATGTGAGACTATGCACTGACAGCTCCAGAATCTCTGCAGAGGGTATTTGAGACTGCGGTCTGGTTCGAAGAGGCCAGAGGATTCACCCTGAAACTCAGCTGCAGAGCAGACGCGCTCTTCTAACTTGGACTGCATGTTTATTTGTGGCGGCTTAGTAGGTACTAACGGATAATACAGAAGGTCAGAGTCCCTGGGATCATCTCTTTGGCACAATCAATAATAATTCTATCAGCTTCAAAAATGTATAAGGATCCCTCCCGCACTTACCAGGTCCCAGCAGAGATTAAAAATGATCACAACTCTGTGGCAGATAATGGGCTGTATAATCAAATTCTGAATCAGTTTTTCAAGCTGAAATCCTTGCGTTCAGCCCTGACTTCTCCTTCTCCCTCTCCTTCACTCCTACAAGTCCTCACGTCATTCCATTCACTCTATTTCCTAACCTGTGTCACACCTGTCCCTTTCTCACCATCTCTGTGGCCACATCCAAGACGAAGCCATCACACATCTCACCTGAACCTCCATAGCATTCTTCTAATGACGGCTCTCCCGCTTCCACACCTGACCTTTAGGACCTGTGCTCTTATAAAGCAGTCAGAATGAACTCTGTGACTTCATCAAAATTAAAACCTTCTGTGATCCTAAAAAAAAAACAAACCACTACCAACACACTGAAAAGACAACTCACAGAACTGGGATAAATATATGTTAATCACATAACTGATAATGCATTTGTACCCAGAATATATTAAAAAAACTCTTAAACCTCAATAGTAAAGAAACAATTCTTAAGTGGGCAAAGGATCTGAGTACACATTTCTCCAAAGAAGACATAAAAATGGCCAATAAGCACAGTAAAGATGCTCACCATCATTAATCATCAGGGAGATGCAAAACAAAAGGACAATGAGCTATCACTTTAAATACTAATATAGCTATAATAATAAAAAAAAGACATAATATATTTTAGCAAGAACATAAAGAAACTGAAATCCTCATACATTGCCGGTAGAAAATAAAATGAGAAGGCAGCCACTATGAAAAAGTCTAGCAGTTAAAGCAGAGTTACCACATAACCCAGCAATACATACACAATAACACATACAGACTTACGTCTACACAAAAATATTATGAAGGTAATAATATTAAAAGTAAAAATATTTAGGGACGCCTGGGTGGCTCAGTGGGTTAAGCCTCTGCCTTCACCTCAGGTCATGGTCTCAGGGTCCTGGGATCAAGCCCCCCATTGGGCTCTCTGCTCAGCGAGGAGTCTGCTTCCCCCTCTCTCTCTGCCTGCCTCTCTGCCTACTTGTGATCTCTGTCAAATAAATAAAATCTTAAAAAAAAAAAGTAAAAATGTTTAAAAATACCAATTGTCCATCGAAATAACAGTATATCCATATAATGGAATATGAATTAAAGGAGTGAAGTTCTGATACATGCTACAACATGATGAACTTTGAAAACATGGTGCTAAAGTGAAAGACAGACAGACACACAAAACCACATTTTGATTCCATTTATATGAAATGCTCAGAATAATCAAACCTATACAAACAAAAAATTAATCAGTGACTGCCTAGGATGGGAGTGGGGGTGACTGCTTAATGGTACGGGGTTTCTTTTGAGAGTAATGACAAAGTTCTTTTTGGACACTGGGAAAGTTATGTGCTATGGTGAGTGCTATGAAGTGCGTAAACTTGGCGATTCACAGACCTGTACTTCTGGGGCTAATAATACATATATGTTCATTGGAAAATTAAAAATTATAAAAAATATTTAAAATTAAAAAAATTGATTGTAGTGGTTTCATATCTTTGTGATATACTAAAAACCACTGAATTGTACACTTTAATTGGGTAAATTATATGGTATGTAAACTATATCTTTTAAATAAAAGGGAAGAAAAGGAGAAGAAACAGCTGTCCAACACCCATTCATCCTAAAAACTTCTGTAAACTAGGAATAGAGAGGAATTTCCTCAAGCTGACAAGGAATATCTATAAAAAGCAAAAGTTAACATCATTCTT